ACTTGAATACTGTTCAAGAACCTATGGCTCTTGAGCCACATGTGGCTCTTTGACCAAAATATGGGGCTCCATAGCTGTAATGTAATGAAATGTGTATTTATATAGCGCATTTATAGTATATGGCCCAAAAGCGCTTTGCAATGATGAGGGGGTGGGGGGGCTCTCCACACCACCACTAGTGTGCAGCATCCACTCGGATAATGCGACGGCTGCCACAGGACAACGGCGCCAGTGTGCTCATCACACACCAGCTATTGGTGGAGTGGAGAGACAGTGATAGAGCCAATTCGGTGGATGGGGATGATTAGGAGGCCATGATCGTAGGGGCCGATAGAGAGACTTTGGCCAGGACACTGGGGTTACACCCCTACTCTTTACAAGAAGTGCCATGGGATTTTTAATGACCACAGAGAGTCACAACCTCGGTTTAACGTCTCATCCAAAAGACGGCGCCCACTGACAGTGTAGTGTCACCTTCACTTTTACTGGGGCATTAGGACTCATGCAGACCACAGGTTGAGCGCCCCCTGCTGGCCTCTCTAACACCACTTCCAACAGCAACCTAGTTTTCCCATGTGGTCTCCCATCCAGGTACTGACCAGGCTCAGCCCTGCTTAGCTTCAGTGAGTAACCGTTCTTGGGCTGCAGGGGGATGTGGCTTTAAAAAAAAAAAACTATAACCATCACTAAAAATCAGTTTTCTATCGAAAATACAATTACAATCCCCCTTTAAACTGTATTATATTTTAAACTGTATTATATTTATACAGCACAATGAATAAGAACCAATGTGCTTTTGTGGCAATGTGGATAAACTTGAATTGCGACACCAATAAAGAGCAAACAACATACATTTCTATGCTAACTTAAATTCAAAGAACATTCATTAGTGGTGATGGTGAAAATAAAAATACTATAAATTGTTCTTCATTCATGTTCATGTTATACAATGACTTGCCTAATTACCCTAACTTGCCTAATTAACCTAGTGAAGCCTTTAAATGTCACTTTAAGCTGTATAGAAGTGTCTTAAAAAACATCTAGTAAAATATTATTTACTGTCATCATGGCAAAGATAAAATAAATCAGTTATTAGAAATTCGTTCATTCATTCATTTTCTTGTTGGCTTAGTCCCTTTATTAATCTGGGGTCGCCACAGCGGAATGAACCGCCTACTTATCCAGCAAGTTTTTATGCAGCGGATGCCCTTTCAGCCACAACCCATCTCTGGGAAACATCCACACTCACATTCACACACTACGGACAATTTAGCCTACCCAATTCACCTGTACCGCATGTCTTTGGACGGTGGGGGAAACCGGAGCACCCGGAGGAAACCCGCGCGAAGGCAGGGAGAACATGCAAACTCCTCACAGAAACGGCAACTGAGCGAGGTTCGAACCAGCGACCCAGCGACCTTCTTGCTGTGAGGCGACAGCACTACCTACTGCGCCACTGCCTCGCCAGTTATTAGAAATTACTTATTAAAATTACTTTATTATGTTTAGAAATGTGCTGAAAAAAACTCTTCTCTCTGCTAAACAGAAATTAAGGAAAAAACTAAACAGGGGGACAATAATTCTGGCTTTAACTACATATACATCCAAATGGTTCTTTAAAAAATGCATTTGCTAAAAAATATAGTGTGAGCAGCGCAGACACTCTGACCAAACCTCCATTAATGTCAGTGTGAAAAGAGTGTAGGAACACACTCCGGCTCTCAGGATCGCCTGTGAAAGCCACATGTCTGAACGTTGACAGCTGGTTTTCACTTCTGCTCAGCTTTGATATGTGAGCTTTTGCTTTATGTCTGATTAAATGAGAAGGACAAACACTCCGCTTGGGCTCAGGCTGGTAAGTTGACTAAATATAATCAAATTCAATATTTATTTAAAGGTTTGTTCATTTCGATGAATTGTTGCATGGAGAAATGACTGTGCATAGATATGCAGATGCAACATGTGACTATACAAATATTTAGAAAGCATTAGTTTCTTTAATATGACTTTATACCTATCAATTGTTGTATTTTCGTCAGCTGATCACGCATCAAAGGCCTGTTTTTTTTCTGCTGATGAAGTTGGATGGGGATTATGTGTGGAGCACATGTCCAGTCCTTTTGTGTTTTGCTTTTTGTTGTCTTTTTTGTGTACATGGCGGGTAAATGGATGAAGGTACAGTAGAGAAGATGAAAGGGAAATATGTGTTGACGGGTCAACAGGAACTGCAGCGTTTGAGCTGGAAATCAGGTCTGAAATGAAGGCCGAACCTTACAGAGTTATTGAACGCAAGGAAAAAAAGACATTATCATGTCCTTAAACTACATCAAGAACTTCTATGAGGGATGTGTAAGTATGATGAAAGTGTGTTGCTATCTTTTTTTATATACACAGAGTAAGAAGAAACTAACATTGGCTTGTATTGTAAAAAAACATCTTAGAACACACAAAACCAGAAAAAGTATATAGCTTAATCATCAGCGGTGTCACTGAGTTGCACTTGAGTTGTAGAAGACAAAATGTGTGCTGCTTTTTTTAATAGCTGTGGTAATTACATATGAATTTTTTAAATGATTAGTATTATTAATTATTTATTTTTTTGTCTTTTGCTTTTATACGTTCATTCACTTATTATTTCTTCAGTCATTTAAGGTTTAAATTCATAAAAAAGTAATAAACAAAATGAACTATTTGAATATTTTATTCCATAAACATTTTTTGAGATTTCCATTGAGATCCTATATTATATTGAGAGACTATATTTTATTACATACTCACTTTTATGTTTCTCGATATTCAATTTTGTAATATTTATAATACTACTACTACTACTAACAATAATAATAATAATAAATATTAATAACAACAACAATTGTATTTATCATGAGGTTTTCTTAAACTCAAAGCACAACAAATATACAAATCAAATAAAGGGGAAACACACAGCTTCGCGCAACGCAAAGCTTTACAGAATTCTATACATAGGTTTCTATCAGGGTACAAACACCGGCGCAGCTAGTCGGTGGCTGTCCGCGGTGCCCAGCCACGACTCAGGACACTGTTCATATTTCTGCCGCGTAGTAGGCAGTGCTGTCACCTGACAGCAAGAAGGTTTAATTAGGTTTAATTTAATATTAGTAAGAATAACGTTATTAAAAAAATTTTAGTACTAAGCTTAACAATAACTATATTAAATCACGCTTGCTATTGTTTTTCTTTAGGTAATGTTTCTGACCTGACAAAATCACCTTATAGATTGAATTTTAAGCAATATTTTTTATTTTAATGGATTCTTACTAGTCACAGCCTTGTCAACAGATATTTTCAAAAATTTTCTAGTGAATTTTAAGAGAACATTTGAATTTTTGAATTTGTACGAATTATTTTTTTTACACATTCAAATTACATTCATACATGTAAACATGTCTACAAACACTGTACCTAACACTGTATTGGCATACCGAATTTGTAGCATTGTTTCTTCTCTTTATTTATGCTTTAATATTAGTAAGGATAATGTTATTAAAACTTTCTTACTAAGAATAACTAACTATAATAATGCTTGCTGTTGTTTTTCTTCAGGTAATGTTTCTGACCTGACAAAATCACCTTATTGAGTAAATATTAGACTGTCATTTTTATTAAGTAATTTCCTTACATTTATATACAAAAAGGAAACAGAAGAAGAAAAAAAGGAAAGGGGGGGGGGTAAGTGGTCATCAAAGAGGTTACAAAATCAGGTCACATTGCAAAACATTGGATCACATTATCAGATATTGTTTACAATGACATACTCAGTCCATTCTTTGCCAATACGTGTTGTCGAAACCATTTTTTGAGTTTTGGCTTATGTACTACTTGACAATAGTTATTGAATTAAGTATTTGTCGATAGTTGGAACAATGCCATTTTCCTCAGGTTTATTGCAATAAATGAGTAGTTCAATTCTTATAAGTTTTATTTTTTATTAATTCATACTAGCCACAGCCTTCCATGTTTTTCTAGAGAATTTTGAGTGAACATTTGAGTTTTAATGAATGAGTTTTCAAATAACATTCATTATACATTCAAACACGTTTAACACAAGTATACTGTACCTAAATTACTGTATTGGCGTATTGAATTTGCAGCGGGTTTTCTTCTCTTTATGTTTTAATATTAGTAAGTTAAGGATAGCGTTATTAAAACATTTTTATTAGCAGAAATAACAAAAACTATAACAACTCCTGCTGTTGTTTTTCTTCAGGTAATGCTTCTGGCCTGACAAAATCACCTTATTGAGTAAATATTAGATTGTCATATTTATTAATTACTGTTAATTGGGAAAAAGAAACAGAAGATGAAGAAAGGGGGAAGGAGGGACTAAGTGGTCATCATAAGGGTTACAAAATTAAGTCACAATTCATTTGATTACATATTGTTTTACAATGACATAGTCAGCCATTTTTGCCAATACTTGTTGCACTTTTTTGAGTCAAGTCTTAGGTTAAATGTCAATATAATGTACTTCCTTTACAATTCCTATCCATTGAGCCCTTGTTGGAGGATCAACCTGAAACAATTTTCGAGTCATGGCTTGTGTACTACAAAACAAAAGTAAATATTATTATTTATTAGTATTTCTCGATAATTGTAACAGTTTCTGGAATTTTCCCAATATATAATGTAATAAATGAGTAGTTCATTTCTTATCATTTTTATTTTTAATGGATTCATACTAGCCACAGCCTTTTCAACGGATGTTTTCAACGTATTTCAAGTTAATTTTGAGAAAACTATTGAGTTTTGTACTCTTTTATACATTCAAATAACATTTAACACATATTCAAACACGTTTACAGATACTGTTGCTAACTTACCGTGTTGGAGTAAAGTTACCGAATCTGTAGCGGTTTTTCTTCTCTGTCTTCAAGTTTTCTCTTACAGGTGTTTGGTATTTGACGCCGTCTCGTTTGATTGGCGTTTGTGTCAGTTTCTTACGCCGTCTTGTTTAATTGGTGTTTGTGCAGCTCCGGCCTCCGACTGTGATTGGTCAGTTCCACACGCTGTTCTTCGGCTCAGTGCGCATGTTCTTTCTGGGGGTTCTGGGATTTGCAGTTTACGGGAATGAAGCGCTTCACTTCAGCTGTGATCCGGATAGGAGGGAGATCAACTTATTCTGCTACAACCAGTTTAGGCCCGTCACACCGCAGGTCAGACCGATTAAACATTGAAAATTAAAAACAATAGATAAAAATTTTAAATAAATAGGACGACACGGTGGCTCAGTAGTAGTTAGCACTGTGGTCTCACAGCAGGAAGGTCGCTGGTTCGAGTCTCGGCTGGGTCAGTTGGCATAAGTGAAGTTTGCATGTTCTCGGGGTTTCCTCCAGGTGCACATGAATTATAGGTGAATTGGTAGTGTGTGAGTATGTGTGTGAATGTGAGTTTATTGGGTGTTTCCCAGTGCTGGGTTGCAGCTGAAAGGGCATTATCTGTGTAAAACATGTGTTGGATAAGTTGGCAGTTCATTCTGCTGTGGCGACCCCCGATTAAGAAAGAGACTAAACTGAAAAGAAAATGAATGAATGAATGAATGAATAAAGAAAGTGCAAATTGCATAATTAAACTGAATATAAAAATTAGGGAAATTAATTCATGTTTTATTGTAATACGCTTGATGCTTTAATTTTGCACTGTATTTGTTCATTAATCTCAGGATGTAGCAAGTTGTGACATTTATTTTTTAATTCTTAGTTTAGATTGGCCCACACTTTTTATTTCATTTTAAAACACATTTTGAAAAGCAATTAAATCTGCAATATATAAATATTATAAATAATGGCAGAATTTAAGGCTTGTGAACATTCAGAATTTGTTTACAAAAGAAACCTAAATACCTCAAGATGTAAATTAATGAAACATTTATTTTCAATTTATTTTAGTGTAAAATATGATTCATTCGTTCATTTTCCTTCAGCTTAGGCCTTTTGTTCATCAGGGTTTGCCACAGTGAAATGAACCGCCAACTTATCCAGCATAAGACAGCTTAGACTGAAGATGGGGTAAACCGGAGCACCATCAACTGATCCAGCCGGGCCTCGAATCAGCAACCTTCTTGCTGTGAGGCAACAGTGCTAACCTCTGAGCCATTGATTTTCATTCTCGTTTACATTAAACAATTAATAAACAACGTTTCTTATTTCCAATATAAAAGAAAAGCCAATAATTTACTTATAATTTAGTGTGATATTTATTAGGATTTTTGCAAATGCACAAATAAACGTAAATAAAATACTCTTTTAAAAACATTACTCCGTGAAAAAATATGACAAATACCTCCAGTCTCTGTTTCCCGCAGGTGTTTTGGGCGCTCCAGCTCGTGACGGTCCTCGTTCCCGGTGCAGTTTTTCATCTTTATGCGGCGTATAAAAACATCGACCAGGAGGAGATTCTGGAGCGGCGCTCATTTACTGTGTTTTACATCATCTCTGTACTCCTGCGGATCCTTCTGGAGGTTGCGGCTTTCTGGCTCCAGAGTCGTCTGTTCGGTTTTTTGGTTCACCCGTTGTATTCCTGCGACTCCAGACCTCTGGACAGCAGGCTCAACTTCACCAAATGTATGGTTCCCGAACACTTTGAGAAAACCATCTTCCTCAGCGCCATGTACACCTTCACCATCATCACCATGATATTGTGCGTGGCGGAGATTTTCGAGATCCTCTGCAGAAGGCTGGGGTATTTAACACATCAGTGATGATGTCACAATATTTACGGGGGCTCGTTTGGGATATTAACACGGTTTTATTCATTCATTTTCCCTCACCTTTATCCCTGATTATCAGAGGTGGCCACAGCGGATTGAACCGCCAACTATTTCAGCATATGTTTTATGCAGTGGATGCCCTTCCAGCTGCAACCCAGTACTGGGACACACCCATACACACTTTCATTCCCACACGAACTCATGCACTACATCTTTGGACTGTGAGGTAAATTACATAATAAATTTTAAAAAATTACAAAACAATTAATAAAAGGGACTAAGCTGAAGGATAAAATGAATGAATGAATAAGTGTTTAGTGGAAAACTGAACACTAGACTAAACTAAAATTCCCACATTTTATAAAACATATTTATGGAGGCTCTTCCGGGATAGTAGCTAAGTAACATTTTTCTGCAAACTGCAATGCCATCCATTCAGGTGTTTTCACATTTTCCTGTAGCCTCACTGCGATTAATAATAGATGTGAGATGCAGAAAGTAAATATTTTTGCACAATGATTTATTGTTTGTATTGCTTATTCTTTAGTATAGTCACTGCTGAATGTTGTTGTGTAATTTTTTACACCATGAATTGTCGTGTATTGTTGATGTTTTCATGCAAATATTAAAAACTATTTAACCCAAAAGCATATCTGACTAGTATTTGTGACCTAATTTAGCATTGTTAAGATTATATATATATATATATATTGTTATATTTTTAGATTTTCATCTAGTTTTAGTTTCTAGTTCAT